CCATTTTACAGATGAGGTCATTAAGGTCAGAGAAGTAAAGGGACTTGTATGAGGTCCTGTGGCTTGTAAATGACAGAATTCACACTCAAGGCCAAGAAGTCCAGCCCTGAGCCCTTGCTCCTAACTTCCATGGTATGTTGTGTTTTGATCACAAGAATGTCATGTGAGGAGGGAAACAGCAAACAGGACCCAGCAAGAGAGAATTCTCAAAAATAGTAGAAGTGGGCCCGGGGATTTAGCTCAGTGGTTCTGCCGCCTGCCTCGCAAGTGAAAGATCTCGAGTTCAATCCCTGGTACCAAAAATAAAAAATAGAAGAAGTCATAGTCATGGGACATTGAGCCACTTGCCTCTAGGTGTGAGATGCACCATCCCAGGACAGAGGAGGGTCATGGAGAGATCCTGGGGGCCAGGCCAAGGCAGGACACACCACCCAAATGAAGACACAGTCACCCCCACTCCCATCTCTGAGCACAGTGTCCCGTGCCAAGCGTGTAGGACCACAGGTAGGAAAGTAAAGGCTGGCAGAACACAGTCTGTTCCTTATCAGGGAGGGTCCCCACAAGGCACTTATAAGACAAGTTGCCAACTTGTCCTTTATAGCCAGAGGTCTGCTGTGAATGCACAATTAGGCTGGGCACAGAATGGGCACTGCACGGTGGGCCAGCAGGGGGCTGTTTATGAGGAAGCTATTCGGAAGGCCCAGCAAAAGAACTGGTGGGAAAGTGAGGACTTGAGTTCTAGGGTCACAGGCCAGGCCACTTAACCCCTCCAAGCCTCAGTTTCCTTATCTGAAGATGGAAGTAACCACCTGCAGCTGGTAAGGTTGTGGCAAGGCGACGGAGACAGCACCTGTAAAACATTAGCATAAGACAGAGCCTGGTGAGGTTCAGTGCATATAGTAAGACCTATTTTTATGAATAGCAGGTCCACCTGACATGAATTATAATTAGCTTAAGGAATAAGCTAAAGTGGGTTTGGATGCCTTTTGCAGACATGTTGAAGAAAGATGAAGGCCAGAAGAGCAGGAGGCTCTGAGAAGAGTACAGTAGACCCTCAAGTTGTGACCAGCCTGACATATGAACAACTTGGGTTATGACGAGAATTTTAGTTTTAACTTACCACCTAAGTCTTGAGTAACAACCCAAATGCCAGCCACTTGTGCTTCCAGATGGTCTCAGATAGACTTACCCCTTAAAGAGTTCTGGAAGGAACACTGCCACATCCTTTCCAGTGTGGGGTTACTTGAGAAACCTTGGGCCAATATCTCTCGAAGGACACAGATCTGCCTGTATTCAGGAGAGAAACTTTGAAGGCTGTGTAGATGAGCCTGAGCCTTCAACTGACCAACTTGAGTTACAACCAGCCCTCGGGAACGAATTGAGTTCATAAGTCAAGGGTCCGCTGTATATCACAGTAACCCACATGGAGGGGTCACATGAGCTAATGTATAAGAAAGAACTGTCAGCCTAGGTGCACTCAATGGCATGGTTGCTCTGTGACCATGCAAGTCTCAGTGTGGACACAGGTGTCCTCTCCACATGTTAACAGGGCTTCAGAGTTCATCTTTGAGTGATGTCAAAGGGAGCTTAGGTGTACAGAGTGGATATTCCTGGAGGAAACATGGATCTACATCATCCTGCCCAGGAGTGATCCTGAAAACAAGGCAATCAAAGGCCACTGGGGACTACAGAGATTTTAAGCAGAGGAATGGGGAAAGATCTGGCCCTGAGACTTTGGCCAAGTTATTTAACATCACGGGCCTTATTTTATTTATCATCCAAGCAGCTAAAGTTATTCTTGCCCTGTCTTCCTCCCTAACCTTGGGGGAGATGAGTGAAACAGTAGGTGTGAAGGCACCCAGCAATCTCTGTGGTGCAAGCCCATGCTGAGGGCTGGAAAGCAAGTGAGACTTATTTTCAGCAGGGACGTGAGTGAGGCATTAGAGAAAAGGCTGAGGGCCGGGGATTTAGCTCAGTGGTTTCGCCACCCGCTACGCAAGCTCAAAGACCCAAGTTTGATCCCCTGGTACCAAAAAAAAAAAGAGAGAGAGAAAAGGCTGAGCACTTCAGGGAATGCAAGAGGGGCTGGTCCCTGGATGGAAGAGGAAGCAATACTGAGAGCAACACTTCAAAAGACCAAGGACCAGTGAGGATTGGCTTGGATTATCAGGTGTGGTAGGTAAGAGGATGTCTGCTTCAGGTTGTGGGTGGAGTGGGGCCTTCCCAGGACCACAGTGATCCAGGGCTTGGATGCATCACAGGGACATGGAGCTGCCAGAGCTGTGATGGTCTGGAGAAGAGGTTATCCTGAGTTTGATCTTGGAGAGATGTGTTCCAACCCTCATCTTTTTTTGTTTTTGTTTTTGATTGGTTGTTTTTTGAACAGAGAGAACCTAGGTGACCCCTGAGGTACCACAGAAGAGTCTGCAAATCCCTGGCTCAGCTTAGTTATTTTAATGAGATGAAAATGGAATCCCAGAAAAGAGATGTGATTATCTGAAGGTCACATAGCAAGTTGCCAAGTTGCAACTGGAACTGAGGCCTTCTGATTTCTAGACGGACATCTCATTCTTCCAAGCTGGCTGTGTGTGCAGGAAAGAGAGAGGGGTAAGATTGTAGGATGTGTTTCATATGTGAGAAGACCCCCTAACCTAACATCTCCCCTAGCTGCTAAACCATGAAACACCTCCTTTGCCCACTCACTTGTGGGACGTCGAAAGTTTCAAGATCAAAGAAGTCACCTAGCGCACTCTCCTCCCACCTTCTCATGGAAGGGCCTGCTGCACACCCTCATGACCTAGAGTTCACTGGACAGGTCCCATGACAGAGGCTCTTCATTAGATCAAGGTGACATCTGTCGTACTGTAGCTTCCAACCAAGGGTCCTAGTACTGCCCTTAGTCATGCGTATCCCAGGTCCCCCACCTCAGAACAGCCCTTGAATAAAGGAGATAGTTCCCAGTCCCCTTGCCCCAGATGACTTTCCAGGCTACACTTCATACTGCTCTTGGTTTTCCTGTCTTCTTTCTCTTTTTACATCCTGGTCCACTACCTCATGTGTCTTCTCTTTGTTCTTCTCCTGTGTTGTCCAACAGTATTGCTGGGGGCAAAATTATTAAAACAGGTGAGGCCCTTCCTCTATCCTGGGGTGACACACCTCCTCCCATGCAGCCTCAGACGACAATGATTTATTTTGCATTTCACCCCACATTGCCTAAGACATCACCACTCTACACCTACCTTGCTAGCCCCATCCTTGCATGATGCACACTCAGCCTGCTGTTTCATTTAAAGATCTAAGAGCAGGACCTTGTGCTCCTTGCCAGGAAACTTTCGCTTCAGCCCGCAGTTCTTAGCAGCATGTTTCTGGATGCTGACTATGTCTCCTCTGGCATGTTCCCTCCCTGCAAACAGCACTGGAAAAAGATCCCTTTCCTCTTCAAAACAAGTCACTGAGCCCTCTGCAGGCCCATCTCTCCCTGGACCATCTACTCTGTGTCCTACCCCAGCTCATTCTCCTGCCCTGTGGGCCTAGTGGACATGGAGCATGCCGATGCCAGAATGTTAGGTGAGGAAAGCAGAGCGTCATAGCTTTGGAAAGGCCTAGAGAAAAGGAAGGAGATGCTATAGTTTTCAGTAATGGCCTCTGTGCAATGGGACTCTTGGTGACCCCCCCCCATGCTTCATTACATCCTTCATCCACCCAATACTGAATAGAGACCTCATGTGTGGGTTTCTCAAATGTTCTATGCTAAGTATGAGTTATTTGGAAAATCAGAAGAAATAAAGTGAAAAAATGAACATGAACAAAGGCCCTTTTCCAAAGTGGACCAGGATAATTCTCCAGCATTCTTTGGGAAGCAGAATTCGGGGCCACGCCCACTCCTAATGTCCAGCCTTCCACTTGCATTTCCTCTTCCTGACCAGGGGGCACGGGTACATCTCAACTGCCACCTCCCGCCTTGCACACTTTGGTCCAGGAAGAGCCTAGACCTTGCCTAGCAGAGTAGGACCCTGGGAAGGGAACACTGGGACCACAGGGAAGAGAGCCAGGGTGCGCTTTGGGGTGCAACTCAAAGGCCTGGCCAGCACTTCAGGTGCTTTTCCAGGTGGTTTTTTTGTTTTTGTTTAATGAAGGCATCTAAGGTCTTTCGAACCAACTAGTTTCAGACAAGGAGAGAAAAGAGCAAAGGGCAGGGACCATTGGAGGGCAGATGCACTTGCAGATGGTGAGGAAAAGGACACAGCCAGGATGATCCATTCGACTTCCCAAGGCTGGATCTGGATCTGGGACGAAGGGTCAAGGTGCTCCTTTCGCCCTTCTCCCTAAAGTCTAAAGGCAGTTTGGAGCCAAGCCGGTGCTCTGTGTGGTAAGGCCGCTCGCTGAGGTTTTGCCTCTCGGCGCCCATAGCCTTCCGAGGCATAGGTGTTGCCCTGCCCTACCTCCTCTCGCCAGCAGAGGGCGTGCACGGCCCGCGAGAAGGAGATGCGGCAGCAAACCCCAGCGGGGCGCCCAGAGTTCGGGAAGGGTGGGAGTGAGATCCTGGAGAAAGTGAGCCGACAGATCCGGAGACTAGGTGGCCACAGCCACCGGGGCGGCGGGCGGGCGGGCGTGAGTGAGAGAGAGGGTGGGAGAGAGAATTGGAATAAACAGAGAGGGTGGGCGGGGAAGCGAGTGAAATGGATGGTGGAAGCAAAATAGAGGCTGAGAGGAGGTGAGGCGCGGGCGGCAGGACGGTGAGATGTGAGCGAGCAGGTGGGATGAGGTACCGAGGGCGGGGCGGGGAGTGCAAGGTGGGTGGAAGGCGGGGGAGAGGTCAGGGAGGCGGCAGGTCGGCTCCTCTCGGCTCCTCGCTCTGGCCAGCCCTGCTTTGCCCTCTCTCTGGACTCCTCCTTGGAAACCTTTCTGCTCTGACGCGGGCTGAGCCTCTCCCTCCGTTCCCCTTGAAGAAGGGTCCTGGAGCAGCAAAGAATCAGAGAGGAGGCAGCGGGGGAGTTCGGGAGCTTTAATGGGGCCCGAAAGGGAATAGAAATACACCGGACCCTTCAGCCAGAATGTGGAGAGGGGAACGCGGGAAGCCTGTGTCTTGGGGGGCTGTGGCCTTTACCAAACCTACTCAAAGTCCCGGGAAGAACGAATGTGAGAGGCTTCCAGGTGCCGGCATCTGGGGCAGCTCCGTGGGGGCGAGAAAAAGTGAAAAAAGATTCGGAATTGGGAAACAAGAGGTCATAATGGAGGGGGCTTCTAGGAGAGAGGTCAGGTGGAGAGAAAGAGAGGAGACAGAAAAAACAGGCCCAGTCGCCTTCTTGGGGTACTAGGGGTGAGGTGGGTGCAAATCTAGAGTTTAAGGAAGACCGAGGAGGCCCGGGGATTTAGCTCAGAGGCACCGCGCCTGCCTGGCAAGCGCAAGGTCCTGAGTTCGATCCCCGGTACCCCCCTAAAAGATTGAGGAGACCTCCGACCCTCCCCCTCGGGGGGGGCTGCATGCGGCCGGTGGAGTAAAATCCGGGTTTAAGGGACGTGGGGCAAACTCAGGCCCTTCTCCGGGACGAGGGTGGGATTCGGCAAGGCTCTGGGAAGAGGCCGCGCAGCACTGGGCGCCCCGTCTAGTGGTAATGACCCCCCAAGTGCGAGGCTGCAGCCACAGCGCCGAAGGGCCCGGGCGGGGGCTGCAAGCCTGGGCTGGGGTAGAGCGCTGCGGTGGCGGTGGCAGCGGGGTTCGGGCCTGGCCAGTAGGAGAAGCCGGCGGGCGCGACGCCGGCTGAGGCCGCCATGAGGTTGAGTTTGGAGAGGCCCGGGAAGGGCAGCGGCGCGAGGCCGGCGGGCAGCTTGTAGAGCGCGCCGTCCTGGGCGGCGGCGGCGGCGGCGGCGGCAGCGGCGGCGGCGGCGTGGGCGTGAGCGGGCGGCGGCTGGCAGGCCTGCGCCAGGCCTTGGAAGTCGAAGCGGTAGGCGTAGCGCTTGCCGTGCACCTTGCTCATGATGTTCTTGTCATAGTAGTAGCGCAGCGCTCGGCTCAGCTTGTCGTAGTTCATGTTGGGCTTGCTCTTGCGCTCGCCCCAGCGCCGCGCCACCTCGTCCGGGTCCGTGAGCTTGAACTCGCCGTGGCCGCCTTCCCACGCTATGCAGCCGGCGTTTGCGCGGTCGGCCAGCAGCTCGAGCAGAAACTGCCACAGCTGGATCTGACCACTGCCTGCAGGAAAGGGGACAGTCAGCCACAGGCCGGATGGCAACGGAGAAGCGGAAAAGCAACCTATTGCAGGAGGATCCCCTTCAGGGAGGAAAAGGGCTCCTTAGGCGGTGCAGTTGGTGCAGCTGGTCGGGAGAGGCAGATCAGTAAATCGGTCACCAGACCCACTTTTGCACTATGGAAACACGGCTCCAACTTGGAGGTCAAAGCTGTTCGGTTGCATTGTTTCTTGGGAACTGGGGAGAAGAGAGGGAGCTTCCTCTCCTCCAAGGGGAGGGAGCAGTGAACCAAGGCCCTTGGCTTTCCAAGGTGAGCAAGGGCCCCACCACCTCAGCCCCTACTTCCTTCCTTGCCGGAGGCCCCTATTCAGGACGAGCGCGCACTGGACTGCCACTGGAAGGTGTAGGACTGCCCATCTCAAGTGGACTTGGTCCAGAGATCCAGAAGGGAAGAGTCAGGCGTGGCAGTAGGATGACCGCGGTGCTCGCTACGGCACAAAGCCTGAGCAGTCCCTGGCGCCCAGTGTCCTCCAGACACCTTGTCCAGCAGGAATGGGGAGCAGAGGCCCTGTACACTGGCGAAAACGCCCAGAGTTCCCTGTCCCAGCGGTTTTCAGGTGTGCAGAGCACTGCACGGGTGCAGCTCCCTGCTAGGGCTCTCTAGGCCTCTCTTTTCGGGCCAGGCGGGATTCCCTGCAAGGGAAGTGCCGAGATTCCCAGGCGCCTGATGGACGCGCTGGGGAGAGAGAAAGCCGAGAAGTATTTGTGCTGGACTCTAGCCTTCTCCTGTTCTTGCCCAATCTCCCTCTGGATTTTGGGATTCCTGGAGGTGGCAAGAAGAGCTTCCCCCAGATATGCAGTCATCGAAGGAAAGCTTACTCCCTTGTCCTGGAGGTTAAGGTGAGAAACCATCTTGATACAATCATCCCCACTCCCTTTTAGAATAAAACAGACTTTCCTTTAATTTGTCCAATTATTGGATCAAATCCAGTCTAGTGAACCCCTTTTCCTAGTCAACCATTGACTCAGAACCCAGAAGCTTCTTTATCCCATGATTTCAGCCCTAATCCCTCCAAGCGTTTTAATGTCCGAAGCAAGGGAAGGTTTGGATTAAAACGTGCACCGGCCAAGGACTGCGGCACGTCAGAGGCGACCTGTCTGCACTGCACTGGGTGTCGAGTTCTCCTCCTGGAAAAAGCACCTGCCAAGCTTGTTTTTTGTGTTTGCAGCTTGTGACTTGGGGAGATCTAGGGTACTGACTGGAGTGGGGGCTACGGAGAGCAGTTGCCTGGAGCACCAGCGGACATCAGGGTAATTTTGTGGCCCTTGGAGCATCAGCAGCCAACCTGGGCACCACCTACAATTGCCTGCGGACCTGGCAGGCAGAGATGCGGGAGTCAAGTGGTTCCCACGGGTGCTCAGGAAGCTCTGCAGGGCTTTACCGACTGGGCAGCCCTTATGGGGAGGGGGGGTAGTTCTCCCGGTTCCCTTGCTCCGAATGCTGTGGCCTTGAGTGCCTGCTGCCAGCAGAGAAAGGGTACTAAGCCCCTCAGCCTTGGCCCCAAAGCCCAGACACACAGCAGAAAAAGGTGTAGAGATGAGGTCCTCTCCCTGGGACTCAAAATGCTCTGGGACTCGGAAAATGCAAGCACCAAAGGCAGAATAGATGTTTCCCCAGAAGCCTCTCCACGGTCAGGCCTCTTTCCAGACCTGGGGTGCACACTGCTCCCACCCTCTGGGTCAGGCTGTGGCGGCAGGGCTCCTGTCCAGGTCCGGGCCTCAGCTCCCACCCACGGCCCTTGTCCGGTCTGCCCAGCGCACCGGCCAGCTCACCTTTCTGCACCGCGGGGCTCAGGGGCCCCCAGCTCGGGCTTTTCCCTTCCTTGAAGAGACCCTCTCCGACGGGATCTGCGGGGCGCAGAAGAAAAGTCAGGCAGACGTGGGCGGAAGTTGTGGGCTTGACCGAAAGGGCCTTGGGCCAAGTCTCTAGGGGGCTTCTGTGTTCTGGGGGCCCGGGCCACCCAGCTCCTCCTCCCGGAGCCCAGCCCTGGCGCGTGCTGCGCAGAGCCCCTCCGTAGCGCCCAAGTCAGGAAACGCGTCCAGGAAAAAGGAAATCCGCTTTCCGAAGGGGCCGGCTGGAGCCTTATAAAGCCACGCGGGGTTTGAGACAGCCGAGCCTGAGCGAGCAGAGCCCCTGGCAGAGGAGAGGAGGGCGCTTGGAGGGCCTGGCCGGTGCGAACGCTCGGGCGCGAAGGTGAGGAGCTGTAAGGGCAGAGGGGCGACGCCCGGCGGACCACAGTCTCCTCGCGCAAGGCCCGCGCAGAGTCCTCCACCACGCGAAGACCCCGCCCAGGCTCTGTGAGGCCCCTGAGCCCCCGCCTCAGCCTCCCAGGCTCCCAGCCTGCTCACCTGGAGTTCTCTAGACCCTACACGGAAACCCCAGAGCTCTTTATCTACCTTTCAGGATTTCCTGCATGCCCCAAACTGCAGTCATCCCTCCTCCACCCGCAGCCTGCCCGGATCGCATGCCCTTCCTTTGGACCGCAGGGACCCTTCCCACGTCCTAGTTTAGATTCCCCGCCCAGGGTCCTGGCGCCTCCAGCCCCCGGCTGGCCCTGGTACCTGGCAGGTACATGTTGATCAGCAGGGGCTGGGAGGCGCCGCTCTGTCTCATCGCTGCCGGGGCTGGGCGGTGGGAGATGGGGGGACCGGGAGGGGGGTGCGTCAGGCTTTGCGCTTCGGGGCACGGATCCCCGCCCGAGGCGACCGCGGGTGACAGGGAGGAGAAGACAGCGCCGGGTCCAGCAGGGCCTGGCAGGAGGGGGCAGCCCGGGTGTGGCGGGGGACTGGGGGAGCGTCCTGGAGCGACGCTCCCAGCTACAGGGCCGCCTGGAACCCTCCGGCCCCCGCGCGGGCAGGGGCCGCAATTTCCGTTTTAATTAAAGTGCGGCCGCCTCAGCCCCCCGGACCCCGCCCCCGCCCCTCTTATCTTCCCATCGCAATAAAGTCTCCAACGCGCGGTGCCACAGCCAAGCGCACCCGGCAGCCCCCTGCGCCCCGCAGCCCGGGAGACGCGCGGGGGATGGGCCCCAGCCGCGCCCTCGGATGGGGGCCTGGGGCGCGTTTCTTTTCCGCCTCCCCGACTCTGCAAACAGTGTGGGGCCGGGGGGCGGGGGGCTGGCCCACGGCGGACCCCCGAGGCCACGTCCCCCTCCCAGAGCCTGCCCCCGGCGCGTTCTTCCTCCCTCTCACTCTTCACCCCCCTCCCCCACCCCTCCCGGGTTCCCGTCTCCAGGCTGCGTTATCTGCATCTTCACTTTTAAATTTCCGCTTCCCTCCCTCTCGCCTGTCGCTGTGCTCCTGGCCCCGCAGCCGTTGCTCTCTTTATCTCTGCCCCCACCCTACTTTCCCACTCTGCTCTTCCCTGGAGACTCATTGCCTTCCCCGTCTCCCCTTCCCTTTCCCGGTTTCCTGACTTTCTCCGCCCCTCCCCCAAGGCCGGATGCTGGGGCTTCGCCCCTGGCAACTTCTCCTGAGTGTCCCTGCTTTCCCTCCCTACCCCCTTACTGGTCTCTTCTGGCCAGCTAGTCTGCCTCCTTTCTCTCCTGCACCCATCGCCCCTCCAGTAACCTCCTTCCCTCTCTTTTCTCCTTCGTTCGGTCCCACAAACTGGTTGCCGTCCCTGAGGGACAGTGTGTGCTGGCTTTTCCTGGCAGGCTCGGGATTCCCCTTCCAATTCCCTCTGCAGCTATTTCTCGTCCACCCTTCCCCACCTTGTCCCAGTCTGCCCCACCCTCATACTCACTCCCACGCTGGTTATCCCAAATCCCAGCTCTAGAGGTGCAGGGGTCCAGTTAGGGTTGTGTACTGTACCTGGCTTTTCTCACAGTTGCAAAGAGGCTGGACTGGGGTCTCCGGGCAAGTGTGCACCTTCCTGACCCCGCAGAGGCCAGAGGTGGACTAAGGAGGGATGTTACTGATGGTGGGGCCCAGGGTCGGGAGCCCACCTTCTGCAGCCATGCAGCCCCCGGTGGCGACACACAGAACTGGCATCTCCAGGACCTGCTCCCTGCTGGAGGCCCGGGGTGAGGAGCCCTGAGAGGAGCGCCTGGCCCTGGGTGTGAGGGTGGCTGGAAAATCCCACTCCTGGAGTTCTGCCACCCTCTGTCCACCCTCACTTGTTAAACTGCTAACTTGTTCATCTTTGCTGCTGAAGGGTTCAGAGGAGCCAGGAAGGACGGAGGCTGGTGGAGTCTGGTGGGGGGGACACGGAGACCCCAGGACCCTGGAGGATCCTAGCCATACACAGGTATGGGGGCTTCAGGATTGGACTTGGAAGCTGGCAGGAGCAAAGATAAAGGTTGGGATGTTCCCTGAGGACAGACTCAGGACTCCACAGAAGAAGAGGGTCTTGAGGGTGAGGCCACATCTCCATGTTGTACCCTCTTCCTGCTTCACAAAGCCTCTGACAGAAACGAAGCAGCAAGAGGCTAGGAGCTGGGGGAGCCCAGAGGCCTCGAGTTCCACCCACTTATTGCTCTCAGGAGGAGTGTGAGGCAGAGAGAAGAGGCGCTCAGAGAGGAGAAGAGGGCTACCAGAGCAGGACAAGGATCCACAGCTGGGGTTTGGTACCCAGCCTGACTGAGGTCTCAGGTGCTGAAAGGGAGGGGCACTGGCAAAAGTGTGTGTGTGTGTGTATGTGGTCTCCTCATTCCACATGGATCATGACTTCTTCTGTCGCCTCCTGCTCTCAGGGCAGCCAGGGTAGAAGCTAATGAGAGAGATTCCTTAGCAGTTTCCCTTCCTCACTCTCCTTCCTACCTGGCTGGGTCTATAAACCATCAGCCTTCCCAGAATGGAAAACCGGAAGGTAAAAACACTCAGGCCTGACTGGCCTCCTCCACTCCCATTCCTAGCTGCCTATGGATGTAGGGGTGAAGAGCCTGACCACTGTCCAGGAAAACCTAAAAGATCCATGTTAGCACATGTTACCTCCCCCAAGTCTTCACTAGAGGGGAAACTGAGACCCAGAGGCCAGTGCCCTGTTTGGGGTCCCACTGCAGGGTCCCGAAGCCACTTTGTTGATTCTTCCCGGTGACCACACACTCTCCTGGAGGGAGGCCAGCTCAGCTGAGGGCAGATGATGATCTCCCTTTGTCCACTGCCAACTCCCAGAAGCAGGCAGGGGAAGATGAGCTGGTGGACTCTGAATGGCCCAGTTTGTCTGGTTCTGGGTTCAACTCCTAGCTCTCTTGTTTCCTACTTGAGTGACTTTGAAAGAAGTCACATAACCTCTGTAGTGTACTTTAGTCTCCTTATCTGTAAAATGGGAACTGTAATACCTGAAGCCAGAATTACGGAGTTTACATAACACACATAAAGTGCTTAGGGTAGGTTGTACATACTCAGCTGTTTTTAACATTAACATTTCTCCACATTGTTCTGGGAACAGCAGAAGTTTTGAGCAATGCTGAAGCCCGAGGCTTTCAAACACAGCTCAGGTCAAGCTTCTGCTTAGTCTGGGTTTTTTGTTGCTTTGTTTTCTTTTCTTTTGTTTGAGGCAGGGTCTCACTATGTAGCCCAGGCTGTCTTAAACTTGTAGTGATCCTCCTGCCTCAGCCTCCCAAGTGCTGGGATTACAGATGTGTTCCACTAGACCCCTTGAGCCTGGGTTTTGCATCAAAAGCCCTATGTTCAAATCTTGGCTTGAGATTTGGTGACCTCATCAAGGCTCAGTTTCTTCATTGGTAAAACGAATGAAGAATGGAAGGTATTAGGAGGCTCAGGAGCAACACGGGCTATGGCCTGTACAATCCATTCCAATGTAAAGCAGAATTCATACTCCACACAGAACTCTGTCCTTGGCCCCTGACCCAACCCGAGACTCATGGGGAGGAAGGGGAAACAAGGGCCCTACACTGACTGCCCCTCCAATGCTCTTTCATAACACCATGAACAAGGGGTGGGGATTTAGCTTGGTGGTTCCACCTGCCTGCCTCGAAAGAGCAAGGACCTGAGTTTGATCCCCAGTACCAAAAAAAAGAAAAAGAAAAAGAAAAAAAAAAGAAAACATAACACCACAAACAAAAGTTTCAAGGGTTTCTCAGAATCCTCACAACAAGCTCTTGAGACACACAAGGCCGGGATCAATAGCCCCAGTTTCCAGGTGAGGGAATTGAGGCTCAGGGATGCTATGTGTATGGGTCCCAGGTGTTTTGACTTATGGCCCAGGTCTCTTTCCAAAGGGGCAGCTGCCTAGCTTCAAGTCTAAATGCTGTCAGTGTCACTGGGCCTCACTTGGGCCAGGGCAAGGATCTGGGCACCTCTCCCCACTGGGCCTTGACAGCACAAGAATCCCCAAAGGACAGAATGAGGGGACCCCAATGGACCTCAGGAGGCTCTCCCTATAGGGGGGTGAGGGTATCATTAACTGTGCCAAAGAGGGAACCACACTTGTGCTCAGGGCTCTGATAGCTGCTGCCATACTCAGCCCTGTCATGGCTTCGACTTCTGCTCACCTGTCTTTAGGCGGGAAGGGAGAGAAAGAAAGAATGAAGGGGGGGCCATGGAGTAGCTGAAATGAAGGGTATGAATGAACATCATTTGTAAATGCTAGCACTAAATATCATGCGAGGGATTGTTATCTTGACAAAGGGCCTGGAGGCCAGATTCAGAGGAGGAAGTCTTTCCCTCAGAGGGCCTGGAAGGTGGTAGGACTCCCCCCTAGTTCCTCTCCTGGGAATGCAGGAAAGGGAACCATTGAAAGAGGCTTCTGCCTCTTTCAAATTCCTGGGTTGGGCAGAGAGCCAGGGTGAATATAACTGCTGAAGATGCTCTGGACATTAGAGAGGAACCTGACAGAGCTTCTACATAGGGATGGGGAAGGTTTGCCCTGCATGGTGGTACCTGGCCCATAGGGCGTGTGGAGGTTGGCATCCAGCAGGGAGCCCCACCATGGATGTGTGGCCACTCTGTGTGCTATCTGGGCTTGTGTACACCTGGCCCACACTGGTAAGGGTGGAGAGACTGGTTTCATTTAACAGGATTCCCATGAGATTTCCGAGCATCCCCACCAGAGCTTACCCACATTCAACTTAAGCCAGGTTATGCTTTATAGTCAAGGGTCTTGGATCCTGAAGGGAGGGTCAGACTCTGACCCTTAGAAGGATGAGAATGGATATCACAAAGCAAGACATGAAGGCAGCAAGAGGAGTGAGCAGATTCAGGGTCCTTTATTGAGGGCCTTCAAGGGAGGTGACTGGGGCCATGGAACCTAGTGCTGGACTCTCCGAATGGATTGCAGCTGCCCAGTGTGGGCCTGGGTACCAAACTCACTGTAATTACAGAACTCCCCGCTGTACCGGTCTTGCTCCAGTACATACTGGTAGCCTCTGTAGCCTGGGTACTGGTAGGCCACCCACCTAGGCCAGTGAGGAAACAGGGTGATGAGCAGGTTCTGCTCCCTCCCCACCTTTTTCTTCCATTAGTAGACTTTTCTTAGCTCCCAATCCCCAGCTCCAAAACCATTGCTTTGACTTTTTCTACAGGATCCTTTCCTGGCCTGTCTACTGCTCTGAGTCCACCAATCTCCTGCCTCATCCTGTCTTCCATTCCCACCCTCCATTGACTCCTCAATCATGTACTCAACCCCTCCTTCCACTCCTACATCATTTCCCTGGCTCCCATTCTCCATTACTCCCTCCCTCTGCATCCTCTCACTTCCTTTTGCCAAGTCCCCAACCTCTCTACCATGTTTCTGCCTTTACTCTCCCCCATCACCTCCCTGCTCTTATAATCTCCCCTCTTCCCGTCCCAGGACTCACGCTCCAGAGCTGACTTTGAGGGATCCCACATCCTTGCTGGTCCAGCCCATGGAGGGCAAGGATGGGTAGTCATCGCTCAGTTCAAACTTGCAACCCTGGAAGTTTTCCCCTTCAAACAGTGTCACGCGACTGTCACTGTGGTTCTGAGGCACAGCAAGGGGGGTCAGAGAGGCCAGGCCCTCCGAAGGGATGTTGATGGGTACATCCTCAGCCTCACTCACCCCCTTGCCCCGCCCCTCTCCGGGCACAAGCTGTGCAGCCTCTTAGGCCCCGGAAGTACTCCCAGAATTCACCCCATCAGCTGCCGCAGGGACCCCACCTGGCCTCTCCCTTGACTTTGAGCTAATAGGGTAAGGTTAGAGGGGTTCTAGAGACCTTTTCAAGTCAAGGCTAGAGGATGTCTTGTGACATAGGCCTGTTATTTGAAGGAAAATCAAAGGTCCTAAGAGAACTTTGTAGTCCATTAACCAAGACAGTTTCCCAAGCATCTCATTGGCTACTTGATCCCCCTGCCCAGGACTCTGGACACAGCCTTTCACAGAATGGCCCAGCTTAGGGATAGACAGAGTCCAGAAAGTCAGTCCAGGGCACCACTGTTGGTTGCTGCCCAGCCTATCAAGTGCCAGAGCCTTCTCCATGCAGTAGGCCCAAGTTTTTTGGAACCGAAAAGCTGCACTGGGCTGGATTTGCCTTCCACTCTAGCTCTGGGCCTCGTCAGCACCTAGTGACCACAAATGAGAAGGTCTTCCACTAAGTGTATTTGAGGGCGCAAACCCCCCACCCTCCCAACACAGACACACTGAGACCAACTGACCCTCTTCTCTCCCTTGATCCCTGGACTGAGTTCTAGTCTCATCTTCATGTTGACCCCTGTAACCATCAAAAGACCCATTGCCCCGCAGAGCCCCATTTCCACGCAGGTGTAGGGAGCTAACAGCGATTGCTCTCACCTCCCAGGGCTGTGTGAGCGGGTGGAGTGAACTGAAGGACCTGGCGCCCTGCAGGTTTGCCCTTGTTGCTGTCCCTGGTGCTGACTCCCAAAGCCCACCAGCCCACTTTTCCCCAGACTCTGCTGGTGCTGGGAGGTAAGGCCAAGATCACTTGTTCAGGCTTTGTTTACACGCACGGGAAATGACCTTTCCGGGGCAGCACGGCAGGCCCTGGGCCTAGGAGGCAGGGGAGGAGGGGAAGTGTTCTACACTCACCGCGCAGAGCACGGGCCGGAAGGAGAGCAGCTGGTTGCTGGGGTGGCCGCTGCTGCCGCTCCAGGCACTCCAGCGAGGATAGTCTCCCTTCTCCAGAATGAACTGCTGTCCCTGGAACTCGGGGTACTCAAAGGCCACCCATCTGGAAAAGAAAGGGAGCTGGGAGGGCCCTGCCCAGCCCACTCCTTCCTCCCCTTCCGCTTGCTTGTTGAAGTGGAAAAAACCAGGAAACCCGAGTCTCTCCAACCCGGGGCCCTTTCCCGGACACACCTATCGCATTGCAATCCAGCCCTTCTTTTTTTTTTTTTTTTGGTACTGGGAATTGAACTCAGGACCTTGCGCTTTCGCGGCAGGAGGCGGAACCACTGAGCTAAATCCCTAGCCCTATCCAGCCCTTCTTGAAGCTGAAGACCCTAAACTGGCTGCTGTCCGGGGTTTGAGGGACCCAGACTCCCCATTCAGGGATCCCAGGTTGGAAGGAATTTTTCAGGTTATAGTCATTCCACTAAGCGAAGGCGCTACCCCTCTGCGCGGGGCCCCAGAGTGGACCCCAGGAGACCACAGTGGGGCCAACGGGAGGGATTTGGCTTCTTTCCTCGAACGAAGCGCAGAGACATCTAACCGCACAGAGAAAAATTTAGGGAAGGACTTTACACTGGAGCCGTGGGTTGTTTCTCGCCTTTGTCCCTTTAGCTCGCATGAGAACGTTCTCTTCCCCACGATTTGTCTTACGACAGATGGGGACTTTTGGAGAGGACAGGCCGAGGGTTTTCCTATGTTGAAGAGTCTTCCTCGGAGTTTATAGGGCCGGGATCTGAGGTCCCAGTCTCTAAACTTGGGCTGGGGGGCCGGGCCCCAGGCACCCCACCCCGACACAGCCGGGTAATCACTCACGCGCCGTTTTCCACCTTGATGGAGCGCACCCTGCGCAGGCCTCCGCGCTGGCTGACGTTCGCGCAGTCACTCAGCAGCCGGCACCGACGGCCCTGGAAGTCCTCCTCGTCCCAGAGGGTGAGGCAGGCGGTCGCCGGGCCGGGCGCGGCGGTGCTGCTCATGCTGCTAAGAACAGGAAGGGCGAACCGCGTGCTCAGCTCCTGAGAGCCGCTTTGCTAAGCCTGTCCAACACGGGTAGGGTGTGAAGGATCCAGGGGCTGGGCCCGGCCTGGCTCTGGACGCGGGCTGCCCGGGGCTCTCCCGCATCTCGCCCTCCCCCGCCCGGGGAACCGGGTATTCACCGGGTGGGTGAGCGCGCACGCGAGGAAGATGGAGAGGCTGCGCTAGGGCCGGGCGCGCGGGGCTTTATGCCCCGCTCCCTCTCCCGCCAGGGTGGGGGCAGCTGAGTCAGCGGACTGGCAGCAGCCCCCCCCCCCGCCCCGGTCTCTCCGGGGAGCCGAGGCCTTTCCCGAAGCCTCCGACCTGGTCCAGCTCGCGGGGGTCACAACGGAAAGTGCTGAGGCGCACATCGCGAGCCGGCGAGGCCCAGGCTGACGCCGCGCTTTCTTTCTTTGGGGCCTGAGCGGGGCAGGGCGCAGCCAGCCTCGGGGCAGAACGCGCCCTGCCTGGCCCAGACCGCCGGGCCCGGAGGAACCAGCCCTTCCTGGCGCCTCGAATAAGACCGCGCCTTGCTGGACGTGTCGCGGAAGTTCCTCCGAGGTCTAAACGCCACCTCTTCTTCACCCCGAGGTCGAGGTCTCTCTGTTGGAGATCTAGGGCAGAGGCAGAGAAAGCTCTCTGCAAACGACTCCCCTCACTCTCGTAAGTCCTCTTTCCCCAGCAGGATCGGCCGGTTGCCGCTTCTTTCCTCCTAAGCGTCGCTTTCCGGATGGCGCTGCGGGCTCCGCTAGATTTCTCTCTCCCCGGCCGAGAAGAAGCGGCGATCAGGACTGGCCGCTAGGCGGCGCTAAACGCAAGAAACATGAACAGCCTGAGCTAGAGCGTGTTTACAAAGCGTTAAGGAATAATAGTAACACAGGGAGGGGCTAACTTTGATAGGAAGGGTTTCTCAGCCTTACCTCCTCCCTAACCCGCGACCGGTGCCAGGCCCTCCAGGGTTTGGAGTCCCCTGTTCTGACGTCGGCTGGAGAGCTATTGGCTGTTGCTGAGTGGTCAGTTCCAGCCAGGCTCTGGGTTCAGGCTTTTCGGTGCGTGGTCTCAGCTAAATTCGAACACGGCCCGTGAGGGCCTGTGAGGTGGGCGCTGTCACTGTCCTGCATGAGCCAGAGGAAGAAGTGAGGCCCAGAAGCGGTCCAGGTGTCACAGCTGCCTCCAGTGCCCCAGGGGCAAGGTGCTGAGGGAGAGGGGACGGGGGACAAGGAAGGAAAAGGCTTTCAGGCCCAAAGAGTAGCTCCAGGAGATTCCTCACGCCCTGTGGCAGAATACCCGAACCGCTGTAACTGTCGGTAAGACCCGAGGCTTCTTGCAAAATGGCGAGTGTTCCTCTGCAGGCATGGGGTGGGTGGGGCGTTCCAGCAGCAATGTGAGGGGTGAGTGTAAAGGGAACTAATATTTTCTGCTCTTGAGAGCCAAGTGCTTCCTTAATAGACCCACAGGAGCCCAAGGAGGTTGGTTTGCAGTACAAATGCGGAAATTGAGGCTGAGGAGATGCAAGGCCTCACTCAAACTCTATTGTCATGTGTGCTGGATTCATAGCAGACCCTCAATAAAACTTGCTGAGTAAATGAGCAAGATGTTCGAGTGTGGTCCAAGAGAAGGGACAGAGGGGAAATTCTCCAGTGGGAGTGGAGTGACGGTTTGCCCATACTACTAATCCCCCCACTCCTGATGTCTTGGCTTCCTGAGAATGGGTACAGAGGCAGGCAGTGCCTGCCTTGCCCCTCTCTTTGCCCTGGGGAGAAATTGCTGTTGGGGCTCACATTGCTGAAGATGGTGCCCTAGAACTGGGCATGCGGTAGAGTCCAAGTTAGAAGGACATGGGTCAAAGATGAAGACAACCACAGCTAGGTTTGAATGTGGGTGGCACCAAGTCTGGTACCCTCTCTCCTTGAAGACAAACACAGTTGGATATAATTCCCACCAACTGCACTGAGCATGGTGGCACACACCTACAATCCTAGCACTTAAGAATCTGAGGCAAGAGTATCACCGTGAGTTCAAGTCCAGCCTTGGATCCATAGAAAGACCCTGTCTCAAACAAAACAAAACAAAACAATTTCAAAAAAACAGGGGACCCAACTACAGAGTGAGTCAAGAGCCAGTCCTGGACCCTCGGTGTCCTAGCCATTGCTGTCAATTTCACAAGTCCAGGAGTCTGACAGGCTTGAGGCACAAGGAATTAGTTCTCACACCCCTCCGCCCCGCCTTTTCTCTATTTCTACCCGACAATTGTGGATTGAGCCACCAGGGGGCGCAGCCAGACTGCTCTGGCCCCAAAGCTGGCGCAGGCGGGGCGACGAGAGTTGGTGCGGGAGTGGGGCGGGGGGCGGGGGGCGGGGGGGGATGCGTCAGGCTGTGCGTGCGCTCTGTAAAGCGCCTGTTTGCGTAGTGCCGGCCTGGGGTCTGGTTATGGCCCCAGGACAGGCTCCACCTGGGGGCAGCTTTCAGTCCGGGTGTTGGTTCCAGGACAATGTTTTATTCAGGGAGGGGGCTGGAGGGAAGGTCTCGAACTCCAGGTTGAAATTAGGCATCCCTGCAGGGCCTGGTAGCAAACCTGTAATCGCAGTACTATGGAAGGTTGAGGCAGGAGGATCGAAAGTTTGAGGGAGAACCTCATTAGGGAGGCCCTGTCTCAAAGTTTAAAAAAAAAGAGCTAGGGATGTAACTCAGTGTGAAGACCCCAGGTTCAATCTCCAGTACCCCCCCCCACACACACACACTGAAAAGCATCCGGCTGGGATTTGGGGTGGGTTCCTGTGTATGAGATACCCCCTCCCAGTCTGAAGGTCTAGTCTTGACGCCAGCCGGCCTCTCTTTCTGTTCCTTGTTTTCCCCCTCAGGAAGATAGTATGGCGGCCCTGTCCCCAACACAGCTTTTAGTTGTAGCTGTCTGCAACCAGCTCTCTCACAAATGGTCACACCACCCACTGCCTCTTGGGGTCCCACATCTTCCCAGGGTTCTCCACAGCCTTAAGTCTGAGGGGAAGAAGCCAGGAAGGGGCTCTTCGGGTAGCTATAGACCCCTCCCAGTCTCCTTTCCCTACCAGGCTGGTCCAGCCCTCCATCCCCTTCCAGCCTCCCCCTTGGACCCCTCACCCCAGCAGCTGTTCCTGTTTGTTTTCCCAGATCGGTTGCACTCAGAGCTTCCTGAAGGATGGATGCCCAGGTGGCTTTGTTTGCCAGCATAGCGCTGTCACCCTCACCCCTCCGCATCTACAGACGTGATGTGGAGAGCAGGGAGTTAGAAAAACTCAGCATCCTCAGATCTATACCTCAGAGAGACCTTTGGATCTGGTACGGATCCCATCTAGCCCTTCATCTCAGACAGGAACCTTCTGGCACCTACAGGACTCGGTCCTTTCCCCCAAACCACATTCCCGTACAGACCTATACAGAGCAACGCCCAGGCCTTACAGAGCTGGAGTCCCAGGACCGAACCAGACTCCCTCCAACGTGGGGACATAAAGATTCTGCCAAGAACCCTCAGACCCAATCCTGAACCCCCACTCAGGTCTCCATCCCAGATGAAGGCCCTGAGAATGCCCAGAGAAGTGACACTTCCCCCAGGGTGAGCCCCACCCCACCAAGAGCCAGACTTCTCAGCACTGCTGGCAGCTTGGGAGTGCTGGTGGCCTGCCCCACTTCCCCTCATTTCACTGGGAAATCACCCAGGGCTTCGGAGACTGAAGATGCAAATTTGGTGAATGGTTCCCTCTACCACCCTATCCCATCACCAGCCCCTCCTTTCCAACTCTCCCCCACCAGTCCCCGCCCAACCCCAGGCCTGGAACAGGCTGATGAGCTCCTTCCCTGGGGCTGTTCAGGCTGGTCTCCCAGGAGACAGAGATAACTCCTTGGGAGATCAGCCAGGCCCAGGAGGGAGCCCCACCCGGCCAGACCCATTGTGCCATTCTACCAGAAACAAAGCCCCTCTTCTGGCCCTCGGTAGGGTTGGGGAACTGGCCACTATCCTGGGAGATGGAAGGCAGCTTTCACCTCCACCTCCTCTCCAGGATCCAAGGCCACAGGCTCTTACAGTGAGGCAGGGAGAGGGCACACACTTACATTCATGGTCAAGTGGAGATAGAGTCACCGAGTTACAGGCACATGGATGGAGTCCCACACACTCCATGCACGAACAGCCAACAGACACCCCAGTGTCATACTCATCACAGCAGACGTTTGTTCACACACTTATTTCTCAGATGTTTAATAAGATGTACTATGTGCCAGACACTGTATGGGCTGTTGGGCTCACACTTGAGCATGTACTCTCTGCTTTCATGTGCACACATGCTCGTCCCATGGTCACCTAAAGAGGTCTCATCTTAGCTACCCAGCCACCATCATACAGGCACCAAAGGGCTAAAGGAGCAGGCTTCATGGCCTTGACTGAGTTCAAATCCCAGCTCTGCTGCTTATAAATTGGATGATCTTGCATGGTACTTCTGTTTTCCCCTCTGCAAGGTAGGAATAATTGTATTAAGGACTTGTGAAGATTTAAATGCATGCAAAGCACAAAACTGCCTGGCAGTAGGCACCCAACAAATGCCAACAAGTGTTCACTGTCACTGCTGTATTTGCAGTTGTAACTGCTTTTGTCACGTGGATCTCATTACTATAGCTACCTCTGGGTGAGTTGTGGGGGAGAGCATGGCTCCAGGGTCTGTATCTTCCTTCCTAACCCATCCTGAGGAAGCCAGCAGAGCACTCAGCATGGCCCAGCATTGTGCCTCACCCACCTTGAGTCACTCTGCTCTGACCAAAGTCTGGCAAGGTCAGGGCAGTGTCAATTTCCCTAGTTCTTACTCAGGCCTCTGCTCTCCAGGAAAGAACTCTGGGGAGTGAAGCCAGAGACCTGGCTGCTTCTCCTGCTGCTTTTCTTGGCTCCATACAAGGCCTTTGGCCAGTCACTCCCCCTCTTGGGGCCTCAGTTTTTTTGCCTGTAAACTAAGCTGGCTGCTGATCTGGAGGGGCCTCCAGGCCCTGCCTGCTGTGATCCTGCCGTGCCTGGGGGGAGCCTCCCTCCCCTCCTCATCCAGCCGCTGCTGGCCCCACCCAGCCACCCACCTGGCCCAGCCAGAGTGAGGGGGCGGCTTCCCTGCAGTCTCCATGGGGACTAATCTCCAAGAAGGTCATCAAGGCTCTGGTACAGCCTTGGCTGAATGGGGATTAGCACCTGGGTATGAACCGCCGCCCCCCCCAGCCCCAAACACTGGGCAGCCTCCAAGCCCAGTTGCAAGGCTGGGCCAGAATCAGGGAGTGGGTGGGGGCAGGTCAGCTGCCCCAGATGTTGACCTGTCCAGCTGTGCCCAAGAAGGGAGAGAGATGGAGTCAGACCATTGCCGCTCACAGCCCTTGGTGTCCAGCTATGGAGTAGGCCTTGTCCTTTTTCACCTTCTGACCTTCTAATGGGAGGGCAGTGGGCTCCCAGTGCAGGGGCATCACCGCACACGCCTCCCCCGGCCCTGGCTGTCCCCACTGCAGCTCACCTCTGTATCCTCTGTGAAGGGGCATTTCTGCACCTCAAGGGCTCCCACTTCCTTCGCCAGTGGTGACCCAGCCTCTAACCCTCCTGTTCTCTCACACTGTTCCTGCGTTCGCCTCTCTGTTCCTCTTCTCTGTGTTCTCTGTCCCTGCCCTCACCGGGTGGCGTGTGTGTGTGTGTGTGTGTGTGTGTGTGTGTGTGTGTGTGTGTTGCTGTCCATCTTCTTGTACTTCTCACGTGGCTCTGGGTTGCACCTGTCTGTCCTTCTGGCTGTGTTCTCAGGCCTCTAGCTCCTCTTCCCCCCTCACCATTTTTCCTGCCTTCTCCTCACTCCCCCCACAGCTGCTGCACTCCAACTGCTCAGTCCCCTTTCCTCTTCCCCACTACCTGTGCCCTCCTCCACCGGGTGCTGACAGGGATGACAGGAAGCAGGCCTGGCTCAGAGCAGGAGGGGGAGGGCTGCCCTGCACGACAGCTGCTGAGCGCCCCCCCTCCCCGCCTCTGCCCAGCACCTGCAGGCCTGCTGGGCGCCTGGAGACTCCACCCAGTCCACCAGAGGAGGAGGGACCCAGGGAGAGGCCATGTCTCCAGTAATGGCCAGGAAATGTGGGTTCAGGGATGGGAAGGGGATGGAGGTCTGGGGAAATCAGGCCCTGGCCAGGGCAGTGGTCTCCACCAACAGGGCAGACCCCAGCCCACTGAGTGGCTTCCTTCTTCTTGTCACTCTCCCTCCAGGGACTGCTCCTATGTGTGTTGGGGGGATCATTCCAAGGGGAGAATTTGTGGTGCAGACCCAGGATTTGAAATCCCAGCCCCTGCCATTATTGGGGGAGGAGAGAGGACACTTTTGAAGGCATAGGAAAGGTGTGGCCAGTTGGGCCAGGCCACTGACAGGTAAATCATTCAGTGCCAGGCAAGGAGGAAGGGCTGGGCCCAAGGATAGAAGACTGTCCAGGGAGGCCAGGATGGGGCTACACACACCCAGTGGGGACCCATTGTCTTTCTTTGCCCCCGGGGCTGCTCCAGTCCACCCTCTCCCCAAATGGCCTGGGATCTGTCAGAGACATCTCCTCCCCCGTTCTGGAACACAGACTCAGCAGATTCTTCAGGGCCTGGGGGCAGTTGGGTGAGGGGGCCCAGCAGAGCAAGTGGTGGTGGAGGGGACAAGCCAGCACCTCCAGGATCATTCCATTTGGGGCAACTTCGACCCTGGGGGTTGCCTCTACCTGGCTGTGCACATGATGCGTCCTTGTCCTAAGAGAGAACCGTGGCTCTTTACTTCTGTCCAAGGGAGATTTTCACCACCCTCCAACCTCCAAGTAACTGGCCCTGTCTCTGGGGTTGGCCGAGCATCACCATACCTCCTGGGGAGGGAGAGCGCAGGACGCCCGGAGTCACAGGATGAAGACTCAGCTCTGGCTCAGCCTGACCGAAGGCACTGTGTGGAGCCCTGAGTTCTGAGCTCTCCAAGCAGGAGGCCAGGGCCCGGGGCGATCTCCCACAGGCCAGATCACAGCACTCTGGGTAACCAGAAGGGGTCAGCCTGTCCTAAGTTTTCGCTGTAGCTAATGACCCATGGACCCCACCTGTGCTGAGGGTGACTTGGCCTCAGCCTGCCCCAGTGACTGCATAGAGGAGGTGTGGATTGCGGAGTTTGGGACTGATGTGTCTGGGGACCCCGCGTTTGTCCTTTGCAGTCAGTCTCAGACATGGATGAACTAAAAGAGGGACCAAGGTGGCCGCAAGAAGTGAAATTTCAGGATCTCACCAGCCCCAAAGAGGTCAGGAGTGGGGGCAAGATCAGCTCGACCTGGATTTTCCACACCCCACAGATTTGACTCCGGCCCTTGGAGGACTTCCATCTTCTCACACGAGGGCCCAAAGGTATGGTTAGGAGCTCAGGACAGGATCAGGAGGCAGGGGTGGCCCTTACCCATGTGGGAGACCACAGTGATCCTCTCACTGTCCAAATGGGAAACCCAGAGGTTGGGAAATGACTTGCCCAAGGCCACAGAAGTCGCTGGAACAGAGCCGGACTAGAAGCCAGAATTCCCTCTCCAGAATGACATCCATTCCGGACCCCAGCCCCCTCTGCCACCCTTCACCCGGTGCAGCCTGCTGAGCCCGCATTACCCGGAGTCTAGCCGGGCAGCCCAGAATCTGCGGGCGGGCGGGACAGGCGGCCGGATGGGAGCCAGATCTCCCCCAGGAGCGGTGCACAGGCTCTGCGACCCATATGGTGGGTATGGTGGCGCTGGCGGCAGGCAGGTGTCTGCGTGGTGATCCGGCCGGCCCCGGGGCTGGTGCTGAGAGGCCGCCCCTGCCTCACGCGAGCCGAACGAACAAAACGCTCAGGTCCGGTTTGTGCGAGGGGCTCGTCGCGGGGCTGGAGCGGAGGGCCCGGGGCCTGGCGGTAGCGCTTGCGATCTCCTGGTGCTGGTCTCCTGCCCGCGCAGTACTGGCTTTGCGACCCCCCAGCTGCCGCTCGCCCGCGCACCACTGAGGCTGACACGTCGGCGGCTTAGAGCCGGGGACACCGCAGGTGCGCACCCGGCCCGCCCCACCCCCTCCCGGCCACCTCCGCCCCGCCGGCCCTGCCTGGCTGCGTCCTCAACCCACGCCCCGGAGCTAGTACCGGAGCCCGAGCTTGGGACACTCTTATACGGCCTGTGCAGTCCCCGCCCCTAGACTCTCTCTCTCTCTCTCTCTCTCTCTCTCTCTCTCTCTCTCT